GGGATGCCCCAAGGGTTAGCCCCAAGGTCCAAGCAATCGATTGGGTTGACGATGGACCAAGACCATTGCAGAGTTAAATGGAAACCTATAGTCTCCCTTAAGTAGATAGAATATGGCTTTTGGTATATTATAACAAGATCCCCATATATTCCATATTCTATCTACTTAAGCGGGACCCTATCCATCAGGTGGACCCCCGTAGGGTAGGAATGTAGAAGTTTTAAGATACTCACATATAATCACCATTATCACTAACCCTTATAGTCACTATTGCTTGGTGGGGGTACATCTAAGATATCCAGCACTGCCAAGGTTGTAGGGCTTACGGGCCTTGAATCCCGGGCTAAGCCGTTGACTTGTAGCTCAACTGGAAGATAGGAACCCAAGAAACACGCAGGTGAAAAACATGTGGACGAGTCAAATCAAGTCACGGAGAGGGTTGGTAATGGAACCCCCTGCGCTGAGGCTAAATCGGGGTAAGCTTAGTGCCACAGTCTCGGTGGAAAACCCCTTTTTCAGGGAGTCCCATGTCTCACCGAGTGTCATGGACACTTCGGCCAGTGCCTCCTTTCCTTCTTTCTTAGGAAGTAGAATGGTGGCCCAAGTCTTTGCATCATTATAGGGGAGCTGAACTGCCTGGAAGGATGAAGTCTCTGTATACTTGGTGCCCTTCTCCTCCTTGAACATCATATCGCATGGAGCGGGTGATGAGAAGCCTTTAAACTCTGACTTCGTTGTCCGCTTAACATCAAAATGCTTTGCCCATGAGCCCTTGAAGAACACTGTATTCACCAGCACTAACACGGTGAGGCCGTCCAATTCGCCGTCGAAAAGCTTTTCAATTCGCCCCTCTGTGTTCGCCTTCACCCACTCATTGATGGGCTTCGGGTCCGTGCTGGGCAGTTGCAGGGCCTCTGCACCAAACTTTGTCTGAACAGCTGCTATGTAGTCTGGCCGGATCAACATACGAACCCACGCGGAGTTGGCCATCTTCACAGCACTGTCCGAGGGTAGGCCTGGCACCAGAGTCCTTAGCAATGACATCAGCTCCTTCTCCGTGTCCGAGCCTTCTGTGGCGCCAGCCTGGGTTGCTGTTAAGGAACTTAAATTAAGTTACCATAATGGGTATATATAGGGATGATGGAAAAGAAAATGGAAACTACTATAATGGGGTTGTATAGGGTTCAGGGTTTAGGGTTTAAGTTACCATAATGGGTATGTATACATATATGGTAAATAATAGGGTTTCCCCAATATAGTAACTTAAGTTCCTTAACAGCAACCCAGCAGCTGCAACCATGGACAAACATCCTGAGATCGACAAAGGCGAGATCAGCACATTCTCGCCTGGCCTTGATGTGAGCAGTCGAAAGAGGGCGAAGCCCATCGGATTGACAGCAGCAGCCAGCGACATCGCGCAGAGCAGGGAATGTTGTCCGTGGCAACGACAGCTACAGGCCTACAGGCTACAGGAAATGGCTAGGTCCTTTGTTGGCTGCAGAGAGTCAGCCAGAGCCATGTTCTATCTACTTAAGGGGGACTATACAGCATCACCTAAACACTGGACCCTAATCTTCAGCCCGGTCTCAAACGTGGATTTGAGCTGCTTCCGCAAGTCCACAATGTCCTCGCGTTTCGGGCTTTCTGTTTAGGGTTTAAGGTTTAGGGCTTGGGGTTTAGGGTTTAGGGTTTGGGGTTCAGGGTTTAGGGTTTGGGGTTTAGGTTGGCTTTGTAGGCTTTCGAGGTTTTTCAAGGCCTCGACCATTGTTAGAGGCTTCAAAGCCGCTCCCACTATCAATCACATCCCCACGCCCCTAATAATAGAAACTTCCCGCATTGCGCTATATTACGCTACGGTATTCGCAATGTTTTGCCATGTTTGTGTAGGCTGGGAGTTAACCATTTGAAGTTGTGCTTTATTGAAATCCCTCCCCTGTTTTATGCATAAGCCCCTTCAATACTGGACACCTACAATCCTGGAGGACTACCCTTGAGGGCAAGACTACTTTCAAAGATGCCAGCTAAAGCTAAAAGAGCAGGGGGCCATTAGGGGGTCCAAGATCCAGGAGATTCAATTTGGTTTTCATATTCTGAATCTTGGGGAAGCCCTAAACCCTAAACCCTGCCATAAATGCACCGCGCCTTCACCGTGGCTATGTTGGTGCCCCGAAGCGCCAAGATCAAGTCTAGGAAGTCCAGGAAGCTCAGGCTACGTTCCTGGACACTTATGGAAGCTGTTTAGGGTTTAGGGCTTCGGGCTTAGGAGTGTAGGATTTGCAGGGTGTAGGGGTTTAGGGGGTGCCTTTTTAGGGTGATTCTGGGGGCCAATGGCTTCCATGGAACGTGACATGACTGAGATGCTACTTAGAAAAGGGCGTCCCCCTTGTTGTGTATGGGTTTTGCGTGTGTACAGAACTAGATATTGTGCAGGTTAGGGGGTCTAGGGTTGGTAGATTCAAGAATTCTGTCGCGTTTAGAGTCTGGGGACTCTGGCCGAGGGTTCATCGTTTTGGGTATGACATCACTAGACCCTGATGTCAAATCTGGTTTCGAGTGTTTAGGCCTGAGGGACTTGCAGCTTGTATGATTCAGGTCTTGATCTCATATGGGGATTTCCCAAAATTAGGGGTACCTTTTTGGGGGTCCCTATAATAAGGACTATAGTATTTTGGGGTGTATATTGGGGTACCCCCTATTTTGGGAAACTACCATATCTTTCCCCTGATGTGAAGACTCCCAACGAAGACCTCGAACACGCTGGGGGAGAAACGGTGCTTATATCACCGGGGCGAGATGGAGACGTTGGGCACCTAAGGATCTTCTGGTGCCTGAACCATGAACCGTTGTAGAGATCACAAGGCCCCTCGATGAATCCCAAACCTAAAACTGGTATAAACTGCAACACCTAGACCCCCAACACCCAAACCCCTTGAACACTTCAACTCGGAAACCCCTGGAAGACCCTGAACCTCCGAACCCTGACACCGCTGAACATCCTCAGTCGTAAGCCTGAAACTTCAATCCTAAAGCCCTCCAACCCGTGCATTCATAAACCCTGAAGATACCCAAACCCTAAACTCATTAAGCCCCTGAACCCTAAACCCTAAACTCCTTAAGCCCCTGCATCCTAAACGCCTTACGCCCCTAAACCCCAAACTCCTCAAGCCATTAAGCCCTTAAACCCTTTCAGCACAAGCTGCAGAGATCCCACCCGGCTCTGGTTGGAAGATGAAGTCTGTTGCGTCTACGATCCTTATTGGATTTAGCGTCTAGGATTTAAAGTTTAGGGTTTAGGATCTAGGGTTTAGGATTTAGGATTGAGTTTTAGGGCTTGGACATTCAGGGTTTAGGTTTTAGGGCTTGAGGTTTACGATTTTGGGTTTTAGTGTGATCCTTGACAGGGTTGCCGTCAAGGGACTTGAGTTGATTTAAAAGAAAATAGTTTGGCTATTGTTCGTTACATGGTTTCCTCAGAATGGAAACCTAAAAGGAAGGCTTCGGTGCTGAAAAGGGGCGCCATGGAATCAACACCAAACCATGGATCTACAAAGCGGCCCAGAAACACTAACATACACGTGGTTAAGGCTTAACTTAGACCCATGATTAATAAACCCCTTCCCCTTAATAGGGACTCTAAAGTATATTTAGGCCCTTAAAAGGAGGGGGTTTATAAAGCATGGGCCTCCGTTAGGGTTGAGGGTTAACATACAGCTGATGGAAGGAATCCTCCACCAATCAAACTTCCTTTGGTAGTGCAAGGCTTCATCCGTCAAACTTGCTACCCGTCCCCCGTTCGTACCCCACCCCACGCCCCAACATACTGCGAAACCGCTGAAACCGAAACCCTGTTGAATCCTAAGCCCAAACTTCCAAGTTCCGAGCCCGTGGCTCTGAATCCTGCACTCTAAAACTCTCTAATCGCCTAAGTGCTGCGGTTTATAGTCCCCCTCAATGAGATAGAATATGTTGTCAGATTCTAATAAGATCCCTATATACCCCATAGTCTATCTACTTAAGGGGGACTATAAGGTTGAGGGTTTAGGGCTTGTGGCTCTACACCCTGCACCTTAATAAAGCTCTTTAGGGCTCCATCTCTCTAAGGTTAACTCAGGACTCTAGTACGGGCCCTGAATCCTGGGGTCCTCATACATTATCCAGAAAATCCTAAGCCCTAAATGAACCCTAACCCCTAAACCCCTTCCTCGTTATGGGCACATACTCCCAACCCGGTCCCTGAAATTAAGAGTGCCTCAAGAGGGACCATCATTTTGATTAGTCTTAGAAGTTGATCCAGGCTTCCCGAGATTGCAAGGTCCTTGCCTACGTGGATGAATCCCTTTACTCGTTCCTACATGATCATCTATCACAATCCCAACCGCCTACTCCACCATTTGCTACTAAGCACCAAGGAATTGTAGAATGATTGCCCTTCAGGTTAGGGGTTCACAGAAACCCGGTTTGGGGTTTAGGCCCTAAACCTCGAACCCCAAGCCCTACACCGTTTGGTTGGGGTTGGTGTGGTGACTCGCCAGGATATTGTATGATTCTACCATTTACTAATTCCCTCGCCGAACAATGCCTATCCCCGTTCATTGAAAATCAACATGACCACCCTCATTGTGCACCTTATGTAACGGTAGTAAATTCAGCATATTTTTGATTGTGAAGGGTATTATTGGGGGGGGATCTGTTTCTACATCTTACTACGGGCATTGAACGGTTGTGACCATCAAACAATATGCTCAGGCTTAGGCTTTTGCATGATTGTTTCGAATACTTGGGTTATGGGGGATATCTAGGGTAAGACAGGTCTTTTATGGGCGTGATATGTAACGTTTAGGGATCTATGGGGGGCATGCAGGGGATTTGTACCTAAATAGAAGGATATGTAGTCCCTAAACCCTAAACCCACTGTAGCGTATGGGAAGACGTAGGGTTCTGGCTTTGATTCAGAACATTTGGAAGTGGTATTGGCGAATCTTCTTCTGCGGGCTATGTGAGGGTTCTGCTTCACAATGCCTTGTATGGGGAAAACTCAGGCATTAGTGAGCTCCGAATCTCCGCCAAATGGACATCCAACAACAGTCAATGACCCTGTACCGTAATTGACTGGGCTTATACCATATCGCCAAAGCCCCAGTTATTACATGAGCCCTCACTAGTTACTACATGGAGGCTCCAAGGAAAACCAACTTCTGGGCCCAGGGGCGCGTACACGTCTACACCGCAAGCATACAGCTTCTTCGTGGCCTCCTCATTCGCCAGAATCCTTTGTGGAATTGCCGGAAAATGCTGTCAACCCCCGTGGGATTGCACAGCTATAGGTACATGTAAGATTACGAAAAACTAGTCTCGTTTACAATGCTTGGTGCCCATATGAAGCAATGGAACATTACAGTCCTGAAGCTCGTGCTTCCCTACCCTGTTCCACAGATGAAAAAGCTTTTCAAAGCGACCCCTGAGCTCATCCACAAGAGGGTCGACCTCAGACCCCTTGCATCGCTACATGAGCTTCGGCAAATGTATCTTAAATCCAGGTGGCGGTTTAGGATCATACAAAAAACTTAGGGTTCAGCTCAATCACAATGTCCTCAAGTCTCAGTTTGCAATCCCCCTGCTTCATTCCCGGGCATATGAGCTATAGCCTAAACTCCTAGTATCACCCTTAATGACAACCCCCTTTAAGGAGTTTAGACAATAGCTCATATTGAGAAGTGTGGCAAGTGTACTCATCTGATGCGGGTTGAGTTCTGAGATCAACGGATGATGGTTCCAAACAAGTAGGGGTCTCTGTTCACGGGGCTTTCTACAATCAAGATTATGGTAAGGCGGTATGAGGGTTGCCTCCATCTTTTTCAAGTTCCAGATCCTAAAACAATCAGTTGACGCAAGTCCTGGTTGAACTTCAAGGTCCAGAGGGGTTCTAGGGGAATGAGTAGGATCAGTACTTAGGTTCCAGGTTCTAGGCCAGACCAAACTGAGTAGCGTTTTTTGGGTGGTTAAACCCAGTAAGATAATATTCCTTATATGAAATACTATACCCCAAGAGGAGGATATAATCTTACTCTATATTGGGTACCACAGTATCCCCAAATAAGATACTACTCAACTGGATCTGCAATGCCGCCGAAAGGCTGCAGAAACTCAGCTTTGGAGATTGTGTCATCCACGCCCTGTTCTTCGCGTCATTTTTGGGTGGATTGGGGCTTCCCGAAATACACTGGTACACATAATACCACTACCCCTGACAAATCGACCCATCTCTCACTAATCCCTTCCCCCATTATTTAACACCCCAATCCTGATATCCATTGTTACACGAACTCGCGAACGGAATGTACTGCTGATGTTGCATACGAATATGGATACGTGTGGGTATGTACGTCATAGAGCCTAAACGCGATATTCTTCAGA